TAAGAAAAAATGTGATAGATATTGCTTATTATATATACCTGATGCTACGAGTAGAAAGATAAGAAGGCAAGCGAGATTGAGGGTCGAATATTTGGCCATTGCTAATAAAACAAAACTATAATATTGTAAAAATGATGAGAAAGTATTGTGACAAATATCTTTCTTTGTTGTGGGTGAGCTTAAGCATCTCATATGTATTTATATATCTAGCAAAATGAGTGTTCATTTATCTATTTTGGTTAATTGATCAGTTTTTTGATTTTATTCCATTTTTGCAGAACAAAACGTTCAATTGGTAAATGATTAATAAACAACACTAATTGAATTCCATGAATCAACCCGCATTTTGTTATGGTTTGTGCTCTCTCCGTCCAATTAACTCCTTTTGTATGTCCCACAAAATCTTTCTTTTTCTTTAAAAAAAATTATTTTTACTCCTACTAATACTTACATTATTTATCATATCATATTTTTTAAATTAATAATCTAGTCGTTACATCTTATTTTTAAACATCACAATAAGGATATTTTTCAAAAGTCAATACACAAATATCTCTCTTTAATTTTTCTAAAAGTCAATCTAAGTAAAACCTCAACATCTTGCAGCGTAATTCCCACCTCTCCAAAGGGAAGATGGAATGAATGAGTCTCGGATCTCCATCTCTCCACTAAAGAAGTAATCAGAGCCCAATCTAACTGTAATCCACTCATTTTCTCCACCCCATAAAATCCATAATCTTGTAAGATCTCTATAACACGAGGTGGTCTATTAGCAACAAGAGTCCTCAGATATATACTAGAACAAGTCCTAGGCATGATTTTCGTCCGCCCATACCGCATCACACCTATGTACTCCGCCTTCAAGAACTAAAACGTCTCGTGAAATAGGTCGCGGATGAACATTCATTTGCTTCAAAGATTACAACATAACAACTTATTCATTTAATAACAACTCATTTGTTTCAAACATTACAACATAACAATTTATTCATTTAATAAAAGCACACAACTAGGCAATTATAATAAAAAAACTCATTAAATAACTCGAATTGTTAAAAATTACGGAGTATTTTACAATCTCAAAATTAAAAAATTACCAAATTTTTATGAATATTTAAAGAATCAAATTCAAAATCTTACAAACTAATAATATATATCAATTACAATAGAAAAATTCACCCAACTTGATAACCCTATATAATTTATGCAATTTTATAAAACAAATTATATATATATAATAAATCTAAATATTATCATAAAATGATAAATATTTATATATATTAACTAAAAAATAAAAAATACCTCCATGAAACGGAGTAGGCTAGTCCGAATTGTCCCTTCGGCGGTGGCGGTTCCCCTCTCTGGTCAGCCGGTGGTTCCCCTCTCTGGTCGGATTTCTCCCGGCGGTTCCCCCTCTCTGGTCGGCTGGAATGGATGGATGGAGAATCGCCGCTGGAATGGGTGGACGGAAGGGGATTCGGGTTTGGGTTATCCGTAGGGAGACGGAGTAGCCTAATCCGTCTGAATTGAATTTAGGCAGAAAGGGATTTGGCTACTCCGTATGACATTTTTTTTAATAAAATGAAACGGATTTCGCTACTCCGTATGGAAATAAAAAACCTAAGACGGATTTGGATATTCTGTTTTGTTTAAAATTTTCGAGTAGAAACGGAGTAGCCAAATCCGTATTGCACTGTCCGGAAAAAAATGTCTGACTTACATAGAGCTGGCAAATCGGTCGGTCAGGTCGGGTTCGGGTTCGGGTTGAGAACTGTATGTTCATGACCCAGTATCGTCGGGTTCGGGTCGACCCAACGGGTTATAACTTTGATTTTTAAAATTTTTAAATTCACATTACAACTTACATTTTCTATTAAATAAATTTAAAATATCAAAAAAATGTATTAAATCTATAAAATTGATTTATTTTAAACTCTGAAGTAATTTTTTAGATATATAAATCAATATAAAGAATTTAAAAATGCTTAAGTTTTGGAAAAAAGTAAGATAATTATGCAATATCATTAAAATTTTCTCTGCAAATATAAATTTGTACAATAAAAACGAGTAGTAAAGTGTATGATTTTGGAAAATTCTTACTTTAGCGGGTCGGTCGGGTTCGGGTTCGGTCAGGTTTGACCCATTTTTAGCGGGTCATTTCGGGTTCGGTCAACTTCGGGTTCGGTCATCAAAACCATTGTTCAAAACCCAGCGTTTTCAGGTCGGGTTTCGGGTCAAAAACAGGTCGGGTCATTTTTTGCCAGGTCTAGACTTACACTGCCAAGAATGATTTTTTTTGTACATATGTTGGTCGTTTGCTCGTGATAGGAAGTATTTCTTCTCACTATGCTTTCTTTTTATACATTATGCAGACAAATGCAGTTTCTTGTTTGTTTTCATCCAGTGCGAAATTTTACATTATTCATTGTCATAATTAACATTGAAGCTTTTTCAACATTATACACTATCATGTTTGTCTTTATGCGGTACACAATTTTGTAGTATTAATTGTCAACATTAGCATTGAAGCATTTATTGTCATGATTGACATTAAAGTTTGGGTTGGACATAAATAGGAGCTAAATTATTAAAATGGAGTAACACACCCCCATGCCCCATTCCCAAACTCTCTCTCGATCCTACGAATTGCTTCATTCGCTCCACTCCACCCTCGTTGTCCATTTCTGCCGCCCATCCCAATCTCACTCCGTTAGAATCGTCGCAACCGCCGTCGTAAGCCTTCAAGTTAATTAGTGCTGCGTGACTTATGATCTGGCTTCCTCTTTAATCTGTAATTTTTTTAGTTAACAAACCTCAATTCAATCATAATCAAGGACCTTTGTGTGTAGCTGATGCTTTAATCTCGAAGAAATCATGAATTTTTTTATGTATAATCATATATTGCTTATTAATATGTTGTTCATAGGTAGTGCTTTCTGAAGTATCATCTAAGGCAAGTTTGTGGAATGAAACTCACAATGGCAGAGTAACAATGTAATTGCAAAAACAAATGAAGATAAGATATGATTAGCCTAAAGACATACTCATGCTTGCCCTACCTTCTTCAAATCCCAACAAAACAGAAAGACAAGATACACACAAAGATGTGAAATTTTTGACAAAACATTGAACATACAAATAGACGGCACCTGATCGAAATCGAGACATACATGCCACTTATGCTGGTAGAATATATTTGCTTTGTGTGGCACAACACACATTCCTTTTTTGTTGACTTAAACTCCTATTTACGAGAGTTTGAGTTTGAGCTCTTACTTTTAAGATATGATATACTCCATACGTTTTACTCTTATTTTAGTCCTTCTACATGTTTGTTCTATTAAAAAAGAACTCAATGTCATATTATGACATCGAGCTCCCTACTGCATTGTTCGGTTTGAAAGAGTCCAACACTACTAAACCTCACCCATCCCAGTCTGCCTTCAACCAGCCTAATTACACTACGGGCTGAGGTGGGGTGAGAGGGGTTAAGGTATGAACCGCTTGCGCGCCTAACAATGTATTGTATGGGTCAAAATTGTTTGATGTATTTCAACAAAAACAACATTACCCCAACATCTCAAATACTCTCACCTACTACTGCCTAATGGAGTTAGATATTTGTAACCCATGTATTTAAGACATTGAATGGCTATTTCTAATTAAATAATCCAAGGTGAGTGTAGAATGTTTCATTTACTAACTCTTACTCCCTCCTCAAAATTAACTTTTGATTTTAGTTTACGATGATTGACTAACTTCATTTTTTATTCAATTTATTAGATTATAAGTATAAAATTTAAAAATAAAGTTTATATATTTAAAAACTACATCAAAGATTATACAAAATTATAGTATTTTATGAAATGACTAATTAAAATAAAGACAGAAACAGAATAAAATTTAATCATGTAAATAGTACGAAGTAACTAGAAAGATAATTTAAGGACAGAAGAAATATTTCAGCATTAAAGGAAGGATAAACAATTTAAGGAGTCATATTGATAGCATAGTACTATAGTTCATGTTCAAATTCCTCTGAGAAACCTTTTTTGTTTTGAGTTTTTTGGTCAAACAATGACATTCTTTACCACAAGCTAAACATAATCTAAATAAACAGATGATATAGAAATTTGATATATCAAAATTATATCACAAAATGAAATCAAACATATTGAATTTATATTATAATTAAATATGCTTTTCTCAAAATTTATGGTTAAAGACTGTCACGATTTGACCAAAAAAGAAAAAACCAAAAAGGTCTTTAGGACCAGAGGTAGTAAGATATTTTTAGTCACTGTTATTAAACTCAGACCAAAATTGGGCGGTCAAATCGGTTGAAACACGACCAAGACACGTAACTGGTCTAATCCAAACCCCTAAAAACCCCCAAAAAAAACCAGAAAATACTTGATTGACCCGAGGAAACATGGAAAAAAACCGGGACCCGACCTCCTCGCGAGTTTGACTTCGAGCCCGGATTTAAAATCATGGGTAGTAATAGTGTATTACTTGAATAAAGAAACCTATTTGAGGACAACCTATTGTAGGATCCATAAGCATATGCTCTATAAATTAGAAAGAAGAAATGTGTTTCAACAGGCTAGTGGCCAACATGTCACAACTTCTTTCAAGTCCATCCCACTATTTTTGAAACATGAGCAAGTGACAACATTTTGTTTTTTTAAAATAAGATTCTGTAGTTGTCTGTGGTATAATGGAAAATAAGATAATGCACATAAAAGAATGAATTTGAACCATACAAATATGACCAAGTATGATATACAATTGTAAAAAGAGTATATTGTACACCAACTTTGCAAGATTTGTATCACTTTGCAAGACTTGCATCACATTGTATCTCATCTGCAAATAAGCATTCTTTAGAAGCAAAATGAGCTTCTAAAGAAAAGACAAAATGGACATAACAGGAAAAGACAAAAAAGAAACGATTCCTTTTTTAGAGATACAGTGAGGAATCAGCCAATCGTCGAAAACGGGATGCGCAATATTTTTTGCCCTAATTCATGACTTCTGCAAAACAATTACCCGAGTAGATAAAAGAAGCATTCAAAAGAAAAACATACTCCATTCATCTCGTTTTACTCGGCCTATTTTCATGTAAAATGTTTGAATACATGAAGCTAGTCTCAATTCAATTTATTTGAAAAACATAGTAAAATTTTACTACTTTGTATGTTTTACTTTACTGGTTTTGCTAAAGAGATTGTGAACAAAGCATCATAAAGGACATTGGAACCATTGAACCAAGTCCCATATCGACAGCATAGTTCACCTCAAAAGCCAACTCAAGAGCAAAGATTTAACCCCGACTACAAGTACTACTCTGTAAGTCCTTACGAGTCCAACATGGCACCATATCACACACAATGATCTAATAAAAGAAAGATATTCAACGTGGAATGCACCTGGCATCCTCAAAGAGTTTGCTACACAAGGCCAAAGCCCAAACAGTTGAGACATTTCTGAACCCTACAAGCAAAACCAGGCAATTTTCAACGCCACATGCCAAAGCAAAATTGATCTCAAATTGATTACAGAGGAAGCTTAAGGGATGAAGAAAGTTGTCCTAACTTGTTTCCCTCACAAGTGGGACAAACACATGGGTTAATCACCACTGGATCATAAAGGGGCGACCATTGTATTGTACCCTTTGATTTGCATAACTTGCATGAGTAATAGCCACTTCCTTTGCATACCCCACACAGCTTTCCATTTTTCTCCTGGATTGCCATTCATGATATTCAACAGCAACAACAACAAAGTAAAATCATAGAGTAAGATATATAATTTATCCATTAGATCGAAGTTAAATACTAGTATTGTTTAAAGTATAGAGTAATTTGTATACCCTTGATTGTTCTCACTTTTCTTTTCACCTGTCTCAAAATAATTTTGTCACTTTTTCTTTCTTTTTTCAAAAAAAAAGGCCAAGCAGATTCTCCTTTAAACCAATTCTATCTGCTCAGTTTTCACTACTCAACCTGTGTTCAATATCTCTTCAGCATCTTTTTTAATCTTCATGATGTTAGAATGATCAAATTAGTTTGGGACAAGGGTAGTAAATAACTTGAGATTAGAAGTCCCAATTTGAAACATTAACCTCACAAATTTCACAAACTTCATATAATAATGCAGTTATAAAAGAAAAAATATATGATGCAGGCCTTTTACTCTCATTGCTTTTCATTTCTCTATTTTAGTACTTATGTGTGTAAACCCTATAAATACTAGCTCTAGCCTTTGAGGAAGGTAAGAGAAGATATTTTCTCTCCTAACCGCTTTCTTTCTTTCTTCAACACTCTTCTCTCTCGTTCATTACAGAGCCTCGGAACTCTTTTCTTCCTTGAAGAGTTACCACGCCGGTATTATTGGTATCGGAGCAGCTCGTTCCGGGCAGGGATTGTAGATTGCAAAGCAAACATCGCTGATATTGCGAGAGGGAAGTGGATTGCAGAAATGGCGTCAATTGAAGAAACTCTGAAGGCGTTTCTGGAACAACATAAATCATTCACAATCCAGATGTCTGAGCGGAACAAAAGGATTGAAGAACAACAACTGTTTGGACAATTGATGGGGCAGATGAAGACAATCGTCGGTGGAGGAGCACCGCAAGAGCATTTGAGGCTGATAGAAGCTATGAATTGCACGCGGCTACACTCTAATTGCAAGGAACAGATGAAGTTGATAGCTAGCGGAGGATGGTCGACGTCAATGGAGAATGACCAGAAACATATGAGGCAAATGGATGGAAGTAATCACAGACAACTCAATTTTCACTCCAATTGGAGCTATTTGGAAGAAACCAGAACCAGGAATCCGGGATCCGGGCATCTTGGCCCTTCCCAAGTTCTTTCCAAAGAGGGTGCAATGGAAGCAACTTAGACAAACTGAATGGATAAACAAGTCTTTGGAAACCTTATGAATGGAATTTGAAAAATTTATCGCGAAGGGAGACATACAGGAAAATATAAGAGACTTATGCTTACTCTTTTGAGTGCGGAGTTGCGGCGATGAATGGATCCGGCGACTGCTCCGACGGTACAGAGAGCGCCGACGAGCGCTGAGGCGCCGGCAATTAACGTCAGCAGTAGTTGGTGAGCTCCGGCTCCGGCCATCTCACCCATCGCCAACCCAAGTGGTCAGGTCCTCGTGACTGAAGATGGATGCCATTTAACTGTGGGCTGTTGCCATTCGCGATAATAATAAAAAAAAAATTGTTCGGGTGGATCTATTTCCCTGGAAACTGGAAGGGTTGGGCTTGCTAGTTGGGCCTAAGCGTCTTACAAGTAGTAAACTCGAGTTTAATTTCAACAATGCTATACTTACACCAAAAAATGTACCTCATTTGTACACCACAGTTATGCATAAACATTTTGATGGTTTACACTGACACAAGTGTTGGTGCGTTAACAAAAATTTATACGGACACAAAATGTTGGTGTATTAACAAAAATTAGTTTTGCACCAACACAAAATGTTGGTGCAAATCTGCGGGGTACAAAAACTTGGGGTACAAATAGCTTAATCCGTTTAATTTCTAGTACTCCTTTCATCTCCTTATAGATCACATTATTCCATTTTTGAGAAAAGTAAAGAGAAGTCAATTTATTAAATTTTTCTCCAAATTACCTCCAATTAAGGAGGAGTCAAATCATTGCATAGGGTGATGGAAGGGCGGGAAAAATGGCCCAAATAGTGTTAAAATTGGAACTTTGTAATTCTTTTTTAGTGTTAAAATTTTAAAATAAAAATATATAAAAATATTTTTTTTTGTATAACCGATATATGATATTCTTCAATAGAAAGAATATATGTCTATGCATGTAAATAGATTCTTTATTAAGTTCCAAATTTAATCAACAATGCACATAATAAAAGATATTTTTTTTCAATTTGATCAATAAAATTCAAGATACAAATGGATATATATTGATTTTGTGATTCATTGCAATGTCCATCCTATATAAACTAAATCAATCACAATCTCTATTGAAAGTTAACAAACACAATGATCACAAATTTCACAAATTTACTATTTATGAACTTTAATAAAAAAAAATTAATATGTCTAAAATAATTTTAAAATAAAAATTTAAACCATATATAGTAAATTTGTTAAGTTTGTGACCATTCTGTTTGTAAACCTAGCATTGCTCTAATAGTTACGGAGTATTATGTATGTTAGCGTTATGTATATATGTTTTATATTGTATTGTTGTACATTGGGCTAGTCATGTTGGGCCCCTAACTCATGTATATATACTCTGACGTATCAAGGAAATAACCAACAAATTCACTTCACAAAATTCTACAATGTAGTACTCCGTATTTATTAGACACTTCATTTTTGTTTAATTTCTTCATTTCATTCATAAAATCTTAGTTAATGCAGTGTATGTAAGAGAATGTAATTTATTCATTATTCAAGATATCACTTAAAATCAATGATTTTTAAACTTTTTACTCCATACTATAAAGTGAAATATCCTGAACAGAAAACTATCTAAATATGTAAATATAGATCTTTTATTATAAATTTAAAGAACAATGCTCACAATAAAGAATATATTTTTTTAGAATTCTTCCATTTCTTAATAATCAATTTTGGAGAATTCTTTCCATTCTTAATGTAATCCCTAAGATTTTTTCATAATAATTTTGTATCCAAAACTTTTTTAATAAGAATCTTTGAGTAGTATTCTTTAATATTTCTTTGTCGTCATTATATTTTCTTATATTTGACAAATTCACCATTTAAAAATGAAACTAATTTTATTGAACATTTTGGAGTAAAAATAAAACACGAATACTTGTTTCCAATACCTAAATATATCATTTTAGGTAAGATTTAAGTGTTTGTCACCAAAAAAATACTATTACTGAGGCTCAAGGTTACAAATTATGTGATGTCTATTCAATAATAACGAAGCAATAAGGTCATGATTACAACAGTGACTCATTTTCTATTCGTGAACTTGTGATGATTTTTTTTGAATGATCACTGCAGAACGTAATGCTCCACTCGTGCAATGCATTGAAATGTATTAGTTCAATAATTTGGATGAATTTAGTAAATTTAAATTATTATATTTTAACCTTTAAAATTGAATAGTGTAAAGTATAAATTTTAAGATAAATGATAAAGAATAATTTAGCAAAACTCAATACCAATACTTACTCTGTATCCTTTCACTTTTTGTCAGTTTCTTCTAGTTTCTTCGAACAATTCTCATTTTCTTCAAATTATTTTTACTCTCCAACCAATTACTCTAAAAATAATACTCCGTATATTTTTAATATGATTATTATTATAATTATTATTACAACTATTATGTTCATAGCTATAGTTTATAAATTATTTTTTTCATCTCATCATTTTTACGATTAACACTGATCATTATTTTTCATCAAATTTTTAATATCAATAAGACAATTTTTTATATATTACTATACATGATAAAATAAGAAAACACCAATATTTTAAACTATGTTAAAAAAATATGGACAAAATAGTTACATAGAATGTTTTATTAATCTAAATTTATATATGACCACTTACCTTTCCCTTTATTACTCAATTTTTTCTCATTTTTATTCATTTCAAAATTTTATTTTATTTTTCATTTTTCTAATTTTTAAAAAACATTTTGAAAGTCAAAACAGTTTAGAGTAAAAGATTAAAATAGGAGTAAAACATAATAAAATGTACAAAAATAATAGTTCTATGTCTTTATTCCAAAAATAGGAGTTACAATGAAAATAAAATGTCAATCATGAAAGAAAAAAAGATTTCATTACATTATGTGACATGTCTGATATTTAAAACAAAATCTTGTAATATATAAAGTATAATTACGAATATATTATTTTATAATAAATACTGCATAAATAAATTGATGTGCAACTTCATGCTAACTTTATATTATAATTTTTTTTTCTAAGAAAGTAAATTTTTGTATGAAAAAATAACAATACTTTTTTATCTTAAAGTCATTCATTAAGATAATGTGATCATGATGATGACGACGACGACGATGATAATAATAATGATAATAATAATAATAATAATAATAATAATGATAATTTATAATAGCAAGAATAGTTAGAATAAGAATAATATAAAACACACTATAAATTAGGTCTATGATTAGTATAATTGTCTCCCAACACTGTTGCCAGAAATCAAACTTAGCTTAACACTTTCTACCTTTACCAACTACCCAACGTCTACCAGCACAACTTTTCTTTTTAAGTTGTCATTGAGGAGTGAGAGGGCACGATGAAAACATGACTGCTCTTCTTTAAATTTTTTTAATATTGTCAGATGAATTATTTAAAAATGAAAAGGACCATGCTACACTTACACCAACAAATATACCCCATTTGTACACCACAGGTTTGCACAAACATTTTGATGGTTTACACCGACACAAGTGTTGGTGCGTTAATAAAAATTCACACGGACACAAATGTTGGTGCGTTTAACAAAAATTAGTTTTACACCAACACAAAATGTTGGTGCAAAACTGCGGGTACAAATTGGGGTACAAATCTTGGGGTACACATAGCATAATTCAAATGAAAAATGCTAAAGAAAGACATGAAAAGAACGGTCACAATAAGTCACAAATTATTTGTGAACCAACGAAAAAAAATAAATGATCTCAAATACAGAGCAATTGAAAAATGGAAATTTAAGTTATTTATCGGTAATAATTTCGCCCTTAAACTCTTCAATTCCTAGATTCATTGATGAATCTCTATTACTCCGTATGTTTGGAAATTCGAAGATAATACCGATTTATTTGAGAGTCGTGCATAAAATGATTTATTTGAGAGTCGTGATTAACTTGTGGATAAAATGATTTCCACAAAATATGAAAGCAAAAGCACCTAATACCTGCTTCTTTGAAACGATGTTCTATTACAAAATATTGGTCGTGAAAAAAAGTTGACATGCCAAATCGAATAAAACCACTTCCACTCAAAGCAGAAGTTAAATTATTAAAAGCAGCGCACTGCCAAACACCCTCCTAGATTGATTATTTTGAGTGCTCAGTCCAAAAAGAACAACAACTACTACTAGTACTATAACAATGATAATAAGAATACTATGTAAATATACTCAAATAATTTTTTGAAATTTTTTGTAGTTTTTTTAATTTTTTCCAATTTCTTCTAGGTTTTTCTAGTTTTTCTAGATTTTTAAGTTTCTTCTACTCCCTCCGTTTGCAAAAAAGGTTCCTACTTTGACTTGGAGCCAAAATAAGGAAGTATAAAATTATAGTTGACTTCCAATTTTGCCCCTGATGTGATGAGAAAAAGTAAGATGTGATGGATTGATTATTAAAGAAAAAGTATGATGTGATAGATAGGGTATGAAAAAGTAAGGGTAAAAGTGGTTTTTAATACTCCGTAGAAAGGAGAAGTGTTTTGTTGGAAGTGGAAAAAATGAAAGAAGAAGTGTTTTTGAGAACGGAGGGAGTAGTTTTTAAAAACTTCTTCGAGTTTCTTCCATTTTTTTAAGTTTCTTCCAATGTCTAACTCTTTTTTTCCAATCCTAAAGAATAGACACTAAACATAGAATGAAATTAAACAACTGATTAATTGAATTGAACTGATTTTGTTGTTTATTCATTAATCAATGTATTCGATAAATATAGAATAAAAGTAAAGTAAATAAAAGAATACCTAAAAATGGATTTGTCATGTATGGATGCCCCTTGTTCAGATTATAAATACACACTCCGTATGAGATGCTTGAGACCCATAAGTAAAAAATACTTATAATATATACTTTCTCATTGTTTTCACATTTATAATTGATAATATTGTAGTACTATTTTATTCATTCACAATAATGGCCAAATATTCAACCATCAACCTCGCATGTTTTCTTGTCTTTGTCCTTGTAGCTTCAGGTAAAACAGTAAATTTTATCATACTCGATATTTTTTTATTCTTTTCTTCTATGAATAAAGTGTAATTAAATAAACATCAATCTTAAATAAACATCAATAATCTCCAATTATTCTTAATTTGTCTTACATATTAATACAACGAAATACTACTCATCTCCGAGAGTATTCATCCAGTTTGACTTTTTCGAGTCGAACTGGATGGACGAACTCTGAGCATTAATTAAGTAAAGCCTATTGTATTAATATGTACTCCCTCCGTTCTCAAAAACACTTCCTCTTTCATTTTTTCCACTTCCAACAAAACACTTTCCCTTTCTATTAAAAAACCACTTTTACCCTTACTTTTTCATACTCTACCTA